TGGGATGCCCAGGGACCAGGATGCCTGGGATTGGGATGCCCAGGGACTAGGACGACACCTGGCTATTTGCAAGAACTGCCCAGAAGCATGGAGGCAACTGGCCTGGATGCTTGTCTTCTACTGGATTGCAACTGAATTTCTCCTGTACAGAAGGGACAAACACCAACGACAACAGGAATTGCTGTGGGATCACCACTGAGGACCTTTAAAAGCCAGGGAGTTCGTGCCAAGGGTTGGATAAGCCATGGGAGAAGTGCAGCAGGATCAGTCACCAGTTGCTTCACAGTCTTCCCTCTCCTTACAGCACAAGGTGCTTTTGCAGCCTCATTCCAATTCACAGCACACAAGAAGATACTTTCACACCCAGCACTCCTATTCTGATTGTTTACTCCTGTAGTAAATCCACAGAACCAGTAACCTCTGCCCTCACCTCATCAGAAACGGATCAGGTTAGAGACTTACTCCTGGATTAGAGCTCTGCAGATCACGAACTCCCCGCTCCATCACGGCTTTCGGGGCTTACTGGGGCGCAGCAGATCCCACCGAGGCACGAGCCAAAGGAACTGTCCAATCTGCAGCACCCAGCATAACACGTGCACCACCTTTCTTATTTCTCAGAATTAGGACAAAAGCAAAATCAAGAACGACTTAAAAGTTTCGATTTGGTTAGAAAAAGGTTTGCAGAAGGTTGCCTCCTGTGTGATAGGGCTGCAGGAGTCCCCACCAAGAGCGACTGGCACTGACAACGCTGCAGCACAGGAGGACAGCAGGTTAAAAGAGAGATTAACTACAATAAAATTATTGGGGGAACAGGTCTGAGCAGGAAAAGTGACAAAAAGAAGAGTAAGAAGGAAAGGTCTCCCAGTTCATTTCCATACCCTGCTCTCTTTTTTTGCCACGTTTTAATCTTTCAACAGGATGGTGCTGGTCTAAGCAGGACCAGTCCTCAGCAATGCAACAGTGGCAAAAGTGGCAAAAGTATGAATGGTTAGCAGAGGAAAGAGAAAATGCAGAAGAGATCATAGCAAAAGCAATCAACTTGAACACAGGCAGCTTCTGAGAGATACTGTTTAGTGATAAGACAAATGAACCATGATGAATGCCTCTGCTGCTTTTTTTGACAAATATTGACACAGAGTTTGTGATACAGCTTTCAGAGATGGAACCCAGATAACACCAGTCAATGCTTTTGGCTTCTGTGAACAAAGGAAGTTTTTTAACTGCTAATAAAATTCAACTACTACAGCAAATCCTTTACACAAACAAAACACAATCCCTTTTCAACAGATGTACTAGCGAGCAGTATGACAAAATATATTTTCTACTACAGCATTTAAAACCAGTAATTTATGTTTTCCTCTGCTGTCCTTAAGAGCTCATAGGAAAGAACTGTAAAATCATACTAAGATTTAATTAAGAAACATGTTTTCCTTTGCCTCAAGCAGAGGCAATGCCACAGAATTATTCAAATTATACACTACAGGATTAAGAAAGAGAAAAAATACCTGTCCACATTGGCCAGGAAAACCTTCCTACCAAACATACTACTTAATACACTGCTGTCTTTAATGCAGCTTAAACCACAGTGTGTCAACATCACCCCAGTCATGTCATCTGCCCATTCCCAGACCAGAATACCCAGTTTTAATCATATCCTTAGAATAAATTAGAGGTGCAGTCTATTAATCAACTGAAAGTTAACATAAACCACATCAATTAAAGAAGTATCACAACAAAGCATGAAGTGACCTTATGAATAGGGAATGTTTTTAACTCTTTAAATACAGTACTGCAAAATATGAAATAAATAAAGCTTTCAAAAGCAAAATTTTAGACACTGTCAGACTGTTTGGTGAAAAGCATTTAAGTTGTTTTCTACCTCCCCAAAAATGCAACACCTAACCCATTGTAGATATTCTTTCACTACAAAAAGGAATGCAAGGCAACATGAAAAATAGTGATTACAATTTCTTCTGAAACATTTAACATCATATATGATTTTCTCTCTGCCCATGCTACTGCATTATAAACAAAAAATACAGCTTGAAGAGTTTAAAGGGGGCCTCTGAGTTTGGAGGTTAAGACAATTTCCAAGGAGAAACATTTCAGACACTAGTTAGTTTGTGAAAAAAAAAAAAAAAGAGCTTTCACTTATTTACTGCAAGATCATGAATACTGAAATGAAATCAAGTCTAAACAGTGAGATATGGAACCAGAATGGAACTGGAGCACCCCAGCACTGACTGGGAGGCTGGTAAGAAGTGTCAGTCACCTTGCACAGACCAGGGACTGGCTCCTATCGAAGTGACTCTGCAGGTGCACGCTCCTCATCCCTCAGTAACCCAGCCTGTCACTGAAGGGTTGACATGAAAGCCTGAAATAAAACCGTTTTTGCAATTGCTGCAGGGGAGGAGAGAAGGAAAAAAAAAACCTAAATTCTCTGAAACTTCAATTTGCCAGAGACAGACCTGACAGAAACTATTTAAAAAAAAAAAAAATCTTCTTGTTATGGACTATGACCTCAACATTATCATATTCAAATAGTCACACTATGAGGCAATAAGATGAAAAATAGTACCAATTATTTAAAAAGACTGTATTGAAAAAAGCCTGTCCAGATGGATTTGGCCTATTTAGCAAGATGAACCCAGTGTCACTGCAAGATATGTTGCTCTGTTGTTCTACTGTTCACAATAATTCAAATCTACAAGGAAGGAATCTCAAAGTTTGCTATAATTTTTTTCCTATTAATGAGAAAGCAAAAGAGATTTTGTCAAGTTCGTGTGGCTTTCAGCACAACTTAAATCCTGTTTTAAGACAGGAGCACCTTAGAATGTGATCTCTCTGAGGTGCAGGACACAGTTGCTCAGCAGTAAACACGTGCTTGCAGTCACATGTGGACAAAAGCTACAGAATGACTCCACAACAATTTAATTACGACACAAACTATCACTATTTTAACAACGATGACAAGGCACTTTACCAGCTTTCAGTCATGAGTCATATCACACCAAGTAGTCAAAGTCTGAAAGATTATCTGTGATGTCTGTCATTAGCTTTTGGAGCCAGCAGCCACAGAGAAACTGAAGCACTCTCCCGAGCAGGTTATGAAACATTTGTTTCCTTTTGAGGTTAAAGAGACCACAGCAGAGGAGTAACAGTGGTACTAAAAACTTGGTTACAGTTATCACACACATCCGCCTCACAATGGAAATCACCAGCCCCGAGGGCTTTCCCAGTCCCTGCAGTTTGCACAGACCTCCAGAAGTGTCCCAGCAATCCCAAAAAGGAGGGGGGAGCTGCACCAAGGCCAGCATCAGCAGCCCCAAGGGAAGTCAGTCATTCACTGCTGCCAGAAGCTTGAAAAATATGAACCAAACTTCACATCCAGGGTTCTGCTTTAGTGGGGGAAAGCTGAAAACACACGACTTTCTCCTCTGCTGCTGGACTAAATGGACATTCCAGAATCAAAGCTGTCACAGAAGTTTTAAAGGGTCTTTTAACACTCAAAAAAAAATAGATAAATAGAACAGTATGTACAGATATGATAAATGAGGGGGGTGTCTGTGTGTGTGAATCCAGTGGATGACTGAACCCGCAGTAAACAGTAAGAAAAGGGACTTACTGAGCAAAAATACAGGGTGGCAGGAGATAAGAATAAAGTCAGAGAAGGTAAAACTCTCTGAAAAATGAGAAAAGTCCATCCTGTAGCAGTCAAATTACATGAGCATCAAAGGATATGCACTGTATGCTGAA